GGGCGGGACCTTCCGCCGCCTTTGGTGGCGGACAAGCTGGCGGCGCTCCTGTCCACAGCAGGTCTCTTTGAGTACTTTAATTCCAAGAGTACTTATCAACAACTGCTATCTATAAAATGTATTATGTACATCTGTTAAGTTCTCTGACAGTTAACAAATTCTCAGTTGCTTCAGGAATTGGCAGTGTTTGCTGCTGCTTGGAGATTAAGAGTATGGTACATTTATCAAAAAACAAAACAATCCCCCCCCCACCCCTCAATTTATTCCAATTCCCAAACAAAAAAATCTCCATTAATGTTAAGTATTTTAATGTTAATGATTTACTTACCAAAAAAACCTCTTTACAGAATGTTTAGTTAAACCCTTTACCATGCAAGATTTTGGACCTTCTCAATTATGGTGGCCAAGTTTCTAGTAAACAAGTCAAAATGTAGCAACCCTAATTTAGGACTTGCTTGTGACTCAGACTTTGTACCTGCATAAGAGAGTAAGAGGGGGTAAGAACTTCCTTTATTCTCATATATGCGTGGACTATCTGGCCCTTGAGTCTGGGGACACAGGAATAAGCAGGCCTACTTGTCCACTTACCATCTCTGAAACTAATGGGTGGAGAGGGCTGAACTGACAGATCCTTGACTCGACTTCACTTACCCATCATTGGTCTGAATATCAAAGCCACCACAGGCAGGCTATGATCTTTTGGTATAGCAATGGAGGAATTGTGACTGACTCAGGTCATGTCTACACTACAAACTTTGGATGATGCAAGTTGCATCAGCATATAGCCACCGAAGTTTGCAATCGCTTGGGCATGTGGAACTGAAAAATCCATCATGGGGGCTGTTGTGGTGGAAATGTATAGGGCCATTAATCGTCTCCTGCTATGCAGGACTGTGACTCTTGGCAATGTACAAGAAATAATGGATGGATTTACAGCAATGGTGTTCCTGAACTGTGATGGGATGATAGATGGAATGCATATCCCTATTTTGGCACCAACTCACCTTACTGTTGAATACATAAGCAGAAAGGGCTACTTTTCCATGGTTATGCAAGCACTGGTGGATAACTGTTATCAATTAAGTATCCAATGTGGACTGGTCAGGGAAGATGCATGACACAAGCATCTTTAAAAACACAGGACTGTTCAAAAGCTGCACACAGGGATATTCTTTCCTAAGTAGTGGATTACTACAGTAACTCCTCACTTAGTCGTCCAGGTTAACATTGTTTCGTTGTTACCTTGCTGATCAATTAGAGAACATGCTTGTTTAAAGTTGCATAATGCTCCCTTATAACGTTGTTTGGCAGCCGCCTGCTTTGTCCACTACTTGCAGGAAGAGCAGCCCATTGCAGCTAGCTGGTGGGGGCTTGGAACCAGGGTGGACCGGCAGCCCCCCTATCAGCTCCCCGCTCCCCTAACTAAGTTCCCTGTGTGGCAGCCGCCCAGCAGGCTATCAATTGCCGGAAATTCAGCTGTCCCTCCCCCCCACTGCCATGTGCTGCTCCTGCCCTCTGCCTTGGAGCTGCTCCCAGGAGCCTCCTGCTTGCTATGCGGGGGGCTAATGCCAGGGTGTCCCCCTGCTCCTGCCCCCCCCCCACTTACCCCAGCTCCATAGAGCGGGGGAGGGGAGGGGGAACATGACAGGGCTCAGGATGGAGAGAGATTGCTGGCAGCAGCTGCTGTCTCAACTTGCTGATCTACTTAAAAAAAGGCAATGTACTTAGAGTGGGGTCAGCGTACTTAAAGGGGCAATGCGCATCTCTCTCTCTCTCTCTCATGGGGTGTGTCCCTCTGTCTGCCATGCTGTCTCCCCTCCCTCCATTTG